AAAAAAAAAAAAAACCACTAGATAGCACCTTTCCTAGCTTCTCCTTTGAATCTGTATTTGTGTCATTCTTTGGATTTTGTGTGGTCATCACATAGTCAAACCATGGTATTGATCACTGTGCCCAGAAAAAGGATGGCTGCCAATTTTTGAGAAGGATGCCCAGAAAGTGGCCTTGTTCAGCGAGTCACAGCCAACTCAGTGTTAACCAGAGACTAGAATTGAAATGATTGCCAGAAACCACTAGATGGCGCTTCAATCAAATATGTTGCAAACCTCTGTGGCTTTTTGAAGTGTCTTCAGGACTCTCCATTTACAGTTGCCACTGGGTCCTTTCTAGTTAACTTCCCAGTATTACTGATAAAGCATCTATTATGTGCAAGGTTCCTTCTCTTATAGAACTACTTGTTATAAGCCACAGTAGGCCATTCAGGCACAGTCTAAAAGCCATTTTTACGGGCAGAAACAGGTGACCTGTTGACACCCATAAAATGCAGACTAACAGCAATTTTTGAAAAGTTATCCTTAGAATCAAAATGGAAATAGAATTATCTTGAGGGATACAAGTGGAGAGAAACTACTGTCCTACGAGTCCTTTTTCTTGTTGTAATCAGCTATGCTATGTTCTTAAATTTTGGAATTAGTGGAAGATTCACAACGGTGTGGGTAACATGCAGACATCTACCATTTGACTCTGAAGCCATTCAACAAGCGTCTCTGCGGTGGAGTCTGGGATCTGGCACCTCAGGCCCTCCTTCTCGTCCGCCTCCATCATCTCTAACAATCCACGCAGGTCTTCCACGAGGTGCAGAGCGCGCAAGCTTCCCATGAATGGAGAAGTGGGAGACTGGCAATCAAAAATCCCATTGGAATACTCCAGGGCCTTAGAACCTGGGTTAGAGACACAGCAAGAGAGAGGCAATGGGATCTGTATTACATAAAATACCAAAGCGGAAGGTGAGAAATCACACTCAGGAGTAACTAAAACAAGGAACAGGAAAAACATGATTCAATCACTTTAATCTCTCTAAGTCATAGCCATTTGGTGCAAAATTAAAAACTTAAGGTAAAAATCAATGGTCTAATACCCAATAAGGAGGCCAGTTGCGTGGTACAGAACAATAAAGAGCCTGGTGGGCTTTGGTGTGAGGTTTGTCTACAAAAACTATGGGCAAGGTGGCAGATGAGTTCAGGTGGAGCCATGTGCTCCAGAAAATATAAAGTTTACAGACGAAAATGTCTTCAAAAATCCCTGAAAAGGGTTTATACTGAGGTGGAAATTGTGTAGCACCTTTTCAAAGGTAAGAAGGACACCTTGGAGTTAACTTACCAGAATTTGAGCTCTGGAGTTCACAGAATTACATATGTGCATTGTATATGTGTGAAGCACAGGTGTCTAAACATTTTTCCTATGCTTTTGTTTACAGCCTGGCATTAAATGCTCTTATTTATCAACCTTAAGTATTACAGGCTGGATGTAGTGGCTCACAGCTGTAATTTTAGCACTTTGGGAGGCCAAGGTGAGAGGATCACCCGAGCCTTGGAGTTTGAGACCAGCCTGGGCAACAGATTAAGAATACCATCTCTACAAAATATAGAGAAATTAGCTGGCCATAGTGGTGTGCATCTGAAGACCTGTCTACTCAGGAGACTGAGTCAGAAGGACTGCTAGAGCCCAGGAGTTTGAGGTTGCAGTGAGTTATGATGATGACACTGCACTCTAGCCTAGGGAACAGAGGGAGGCCCTGTCTCAAAAAACCCCCCAAAAGTTTTACACCCACTTTTTTTCTATTACTTATAACAGAAAACATTCTACTGCTTTTAAATTCGGATGACTGACCCACAGCCCACTCTGAAAGCAGGCATATATACCTCTTCATCTCTTGATTTTTACTTTCTGTTCTACCAAATACACATACTACTTTTCCAGTCTCTTCTCAGTTACTATGATAGTCAAGCTATCTCCTCACAAGTTCGAAGGGCCTGCATTTGGATCATACCCACAAAACTATGTGGGAGTTCTCTCCCCAGCCGGCCATCTGGCTTGATCCATCCAACTATGAAAACACAAATTCTCTTTCATCTAGTCCATTCCACTGACCTTCCGACTACTGGACCACCTGATTTAGACCAGTCATCTTCCAAACTATAATCATGGTCACTGCTGATACCCAGGCATAGTACAAACTGCATCACAGAACCCCCTGAATCAATCCCCTTAGGACTCCCGTAGGCTGAGATAAAAACCCAGAAAAATACACTGAAAAGAGTATGTCAGGGGCTGGGAGGAACAGAAGGACATTAAACCTCGGTCAGGCTGTGGTGTTCTAGTCCAGACGTTTTAAGCAGTAAGATCACCTGATGATATAATGAAATACACTCACGTCCATGACGGGCCCTCTGTTAACTCCCTTTGACAAAACAAGGTGGGCACAGGGGAGCAATGGGTATTTAGAATACGGTCCCAAACATTTATAGTCATTTCTCTTCCTCTTCCTTTTACCCCATTTGAAGAGTTACTAGCGTTAATCTGAGAAAACAGAAACCCAGGTCCTACCTTCCCACGAAGCTTCTCACTGATTTAGTCTGAGGCGGAACCTGGGGGAATCTTGGTTTTTCTTAATAACTGTAACATTGTTCTGAAGCCCTGCTGGGGCTAAGAAATAAATATGCTAATATAGTAGAATATATAAAATATAGAACTTTTTTTTTTTTTTTTGAGACAGGAGACTCAAGCTGTCCCCCTGGGTAAAGTGCCATGGCATCACAGCTCACAGCAACCTCCAACTCCTGGGCTCAAGCGAGTCTCCTGCCTCAGCCTCCCGAGTAGCTGGGACCACAGGCGCCTGCCACAACGCCCAGCTACATTTTTTGGTTGTAACTGTCATTGTTGTTTGGTGGGCCCGGGCTGGATTCGAACACGCCACCTTGGGTGTATGTGGCTGGCGCCTTAGCCACTTGAGCCACAGGCACCGAGCCAAATATAGAACTTTCAAATACTATTCCAGAAACGTCATTTCTCTCAACTAGAGTTTTTCTAAGAGTTTAAAGGCTCTGGTAAGAGCCAAGATTTGGTTCTAGTAATATTTCTGAAATTGCGACAGAATAAGTCCGTATTTTTCCTACAGAACGGTCCTTCAATTGGTATTTGAACCGTGGTTCACTCCCTGAGCAAGAAAACACTTTTCTAGATTAAACACAACCAGTTCCTTACCAGATTCAGTTGTCTTCACGTCTGCCTCCCCTAGACAAGTTTTAGCTCACCAAGAACTCTTTGAAAATGGTATTCTAAGAACTGAATGTAATACTCTAATCTACAAAGGAGGTCAAACTGAAGTTGGGTCTCCAGGACACAGTGGTGTAACAAACTATGGCATGCCACTTGCCTCAGGAGAAAAAGAATCTGCTGAACAGGACAACACTTACGGTGTCTTAGAACCCCTGAACCAGAATGAGGTCAAATTTATGACCTGAAAAAATCAGCAGGTGGGGCCAGGACAACAGAATCCAGGAGGGGTAGTTCAACTGCACCCTGCCCTTCACCAGCAGGGGGTGACAACCCCTCCTAATAGTCCATATTCAGTCCTCTCCTCATTGCAATGGGTCACTAAATATGTAAAAGCACCTCTCCCAAGACAAAATACTATAATGTGGCAGGAGCCCTTGAGGGTCCCCTCTGCCACGGTGTGAGACAAAGATGGTTTACGGCCTTTGCTCTGGTTTCACGATACAGAACTGCTGAAGGTCCTTAACAAGGGAGGGATATGAGGAGATCTGTGTTTTACAAAGCAGATCCTGGTAGTGCTGAGGATGACGGACAGAGCAGGAGAACAAGAGTCTCAGGGACGCCAAGCGGAGAGGTTGTTGAGCCATAGCAAAATAAAGGTAACTCAGGGTAGATTTTAGAGAAGATAAAAAGGTAGAATCCAGGAGGAGGCAGAACGGATAGAACTTGATTAGCTAAATGGGGAACCTGAGGGACAAAAGTGTCTAAAACGTCTTAAATGTCTGGCTTAGGAAGCTGGGTGGAGGGTTATGAAGTGAGTTGAGGTAGAGACCATGAGAGGAACTTCCGAGGAAAGATAATGAACCAATGTTTTAAAGGATGATGATGACGAGGCGCTTACAGGACATTTCAAGGGAGGTATCTGGTTGGTAGTTAGGAATAGGACTGGGCAGCTTAGCAAAGAATTGGGAAAGTAAATAGATATAAATTGAATAAGGGGGACAAGGTGATGTGTACCTATAGTCCCAGCTACTTGGGAGGCTAAGGCACAAGGACTGCTTGAAGCCAGCTGCAGTGAGCTGTGAGTGCACTTATGAGCAGCCACTCCACTGCAGCTTGGGCAACGTAGCAAGACCTTGTCTCTTAAAGAAAAAAAACAAAAACCAGGGCAGTGCCTATGGCTCAAGGAGTAGGGTGCCGGCCCCATACCGGAGGTGGTGGGTTCAAACCCGGCCCCAGCCAAAAACTGCAACAACAACAAATAAAAACCAACCAGAGGTCAGGCACAGTGACTCACTCCTGTAATCCTAATACTTTGGGAGGCTGAGGTGGGAGGATCCATTGAGCTCAGCACTTCAAGACCACCCTGAGCAAGAGTGAAATCCTGTCTTTAATTAAAATAGACAAATCTGCCAGGCATTGTGGCAGGCGCCTGTAGTCCCAGCTACTCAGAAGGCTGAGACAAGAGAATTGTCTGAGCCCAAGAGATTGAGGTTGCCGTGAGTTATGATGATGCCACAGCATACTAGCTTGGGCAATAGAGGGAGACTTTGTCTCAAAACAACAACAACAAAAAATAGATTCGAGAGTCACCTATAGAAAGTGAATGCTGAATTCAAGGGAAAAGATCGGAACATTTATGGATATTGAGTAGACAGTGTCCCTCAAAGTTGGGTGCACAGACCATGTACACCAGAATCACCTGAGATGCAGATTTTTTACTCCTTGATCAGAGATACAGAAGTGGAATTTTACATAAAGTTTGAGAATAAATCTGGCAGAAAATGGACAAGAGAAACAAAGATGAAACCATGGGCAGCTGGCAGGCACTGTAGAGATCCATGAGATGAAAGTAAGGGAGTAAAAAGTGATAAGAGAGCCGTGGTGACAGAGCCGAGGGAGGAGAGTCAATGTCAGGATTGCGTCTTCCAGAGCAAGCAGATTACCTGCTATGATCCCATCCATCTGCTCCAGCGCCGCAGCCAGCATGTCACTTGCGTCACTCATCATTTTCTTATTTGTCAAGGCCAAATTCCAACCTAGATCTGAAAAAAAAGAGGTTGTCATTACAGCCTTTAAATGACACACACTTGTAAGTGGGTTTGCTAATTCAGCTTCCAGTTAGAACTCCACTTACAGTCAAGCAGGGAGAGAGAGCTCAGAAGTAGTGGAGCTGAGTCGACCTAACCAGGTTGTAAGCCGTGGCCAATCGGCCTGGCACAAGACCACATGCCAGACCTGCAGCAGTTCATAAAGAAGACTCAGTTCCTGCCCTTGAGGTCTTTACAGTCCAGTAGAATGGTTTTTCTGAACTCTAGAGCTCCAGGACTCTGAAGGGGACCAGGGATGGCTATGGAAGCTTGTTGGGGGTGTGCGAGGTACTGGCTAAAAAAGACTCTTTCTCCCTGTACCAGCCCTACCAATCTCTGCTTTTTTACTCTTCCTTGCTTTCTTTCTTTCTGCATAGGGGTTTACTTTATGATTTGTCTAAGAAAAGGGTTCACTAACATATATACTAAACACACACACACAAACCCCAACCTGTATTCTGTAATGTAATTATACCTATCACTTACGAAGTGCCTATGGCGGTTCTTACATACTTATGTGAATTATCCATAATCCTTAATCATGACAACCTATAAAATGGATAAATTCATGTCCATTTTGTAAGTGAAGATCAAAGATGTCAGAGTTTTGCATGGAGCACAGCAAGCAAAGGGAGCAGAGACTAGTTTTTACTCTAGGTCTATCTTGATTTCCAGGAGAATACTGGATTTCTGCCCATCTGATTCTATCTGAGGGACAAGGTTCATGTTGAAATCATGTCACAATCTATGCATTGTATTAAAAAATACATTGAGTTTATGCTTGCAAGACATGTTATCAACTGACAAGAAAAAGACAAGACATATGAGATTTTCGGCATTAATTAGCACACGTTGGGCACCTGCCTGAGCCCCCATGGAGATTCTCCCTTCAGACTTGCACAAGACTTTTGCTACCCTGCAGACACTGAGGTACAGGAACACCTGGAAAGAGAGGGCACAATGTCCAACAGAGACCTCTGCCCTCTGCTTCCAAGCAGCCAGATCTCACTTAACACTTTATTTTCACAAATATATTTATAGTTCTGATATCAGTTTCTTGGATCAATTCCCTACTACACATTCATTCTAATGAAATACCATAAAATTATTGTGAATTATTGCTTTGATTTTAGAGTAGTTTCACCTAAGAGCTTTCTAGAACGTCACTCACTTCAGAAGGTATCAAGTCTAAGTGCCACTGTTCGTGGAAACACTACACAACAATGCTCAAGATACACGATCACAGTTACGCAGAAACCAAGGAATCAACCAGCTGGGTTATGAACTTAGGTGGTTCTAAAAAATCGCATACTCAGCTAGTGTACGGTCCAAAGACGGGGGGGACATACATGCCACACTTCAGGCTGCAAGACCCAAAAGGTGAAAATTGAGAATGAAAAAGAGTAAGCTGAATTTCATATATTTGTAGAGGTAAAACAAAGAGACACACCAGATGCAGCTATGAACTTGGGAACACCAGTAGAACAAAGTAACGCAGTGGAGAAACACACACCATCTCACTACATTAGAGAAAAAATTCCTCTTGGTTAACAGCTGTATTTTGTGAGAGCATAAACACTTTTTCAAGTATGACAAGCAGGTATCTATTTCTTCTCTGCTCTTCAGCGAGCCCTTCAAATGTTATCACACAAAGGCATGAAGACAAGCTAGCCCAGGCTTTTCAAAGTAGTGAAGAAACAGCTTTTACGAAATTTTCCAACCCATCAGAAAACAATCCTTTGTTTAAAATAAGAAAAATATGATGACAAGGTTACACTGCCTTGAAAGTGTCTAAATGCTTACATTCAAGCTCTACATTTATCACTGAGCAGCCTACATGTACTAGGAAGGAAAAAATAGTAAATGTAGGTAACGAATGTAAATATAATATTGCAAATGTGGCAGGTGCTAAGGGGGGGAATGGAGAATAAGGGGGCCCAGTATGGAGGGCTTTGCACATTAAATAGGTGGCCAGGGAGCAGTGCCAGATTCCAAGGCCATCAGTCTCTCTCACGAATTAAAAGTGGTGAAATATAGGTGGTCTACTTCAGTGACATTCCCACCAAGCAGCAGAGTCACTGCCAAGGTTTTGAGTTGCATAATAAATGCGAAAGTCCTGACTATATTACTAAAAAAAAAAAAAGAATTGTGGTTTGATAATGATGGAACAGATATCATTGGACAAACTGTCCCACAGGTAGTGATTCAAAACACCAGATGAAATATAAAAGCCTTTTTTAAAGAAACTGGAGAGAGGAAAAGCAGGCAGAAGCTGGAGGGAATTTAGTTCTTGAGAAAAGGGCACCAGCCCTGAGCACTGGCTCACACCTGTAATCCCAGCACTTCAGGAGGCCAAGGCGGAAGGACTGGTTTAGGCAAGGAGTTTGAGGACATCCTAAGCAAGAGGGAGACCCTGACTCTACCCAAGCCAGAAAACATTAGCTGGGCATTGTGATGTGCACCTTTAGTCCCAGCTACACAGGAGGCTGGGGAAGGAAGATCGATTGAGCTTAGGAGTTTGAGGTTGCTGTGAGCTGGTGAACTGTGATGACACTACTGCACTCCAGCTGGACAGTGACCTAGAGCCTAGACTCTGTTTCAAAAAAAAAAAAGAAAAAAGAAAAGTGAACCTACAATAGGTAAAAAATTCACATTTATGCAGCTTTAACAACTGTGGGTACCTCCAATCCATGTGATGCAGAGGGGCTAGGACACTTGAAGAAAACTCTAATCTTATTGGCTCAAAAGACAGAAGGGGGTAAAATTCTTACATTATACGCAAAAATGTTTAATAATAATTCACGGCAGACTGTGATAAGTTAAGAATATACAATGCAATCCGCTAAAACTATAAAATTAAGAGATACAAATAAAAAGCCAACAGAGCTGATAAAATCGAATATTAGTAAAACATTCAATTTTATTTAATACAAAAGATGTAGTAATAGAAGAACTATGGATAATGGGAAAAAGAAAAGTCAAAAGCCAAGATAGTAGACATAAACTAAACCATATAATTATATTAAATATAAATGGAATAAACAGCATAAGAACCAGACATCTCAGACTAGTTTTACAAAAAGAACTATATGCTGTTTAAATATGAAGAAATATAAAAGGATGAAAAATAAGATATAGCATGCACATCGTAAGCATAAGAAAGCAGGAGTCAATTTTTTTGAGTAGGTATATGAATATAAAGAAAATAATCTACAAATCAAATATTACTAGAAAGAGGGATATTTTATAATTGGTAAGAATTAATTCATCAATAAGTCATAACATGCACAAGAGTTTTTGCAACTACTAACAGAGCTTCAAAATACATTAAGTAAATGCAGATAGAATTAAGGGAGAATTCGATAAATTAGTCCACTATATTTAACAAAATTGTTAATATGGTTGAAGTCTACTGTCCTGACATTTTTTATTGTTTGTCCCATCTATTATTTGTTCTTTCTTTTCAACCTTCTTTTGGATTAGTAGATGAGGTGGGGGGGAAAAACACACATCTATAGTCTCAGCTACCTGGGAGGCTGAGGCAGGAGGACCACTGGAGCCCCAGAAGTTGGAGGTTGCAGTGAGTTATGATCATATCACTGTTCTCTATCTTGGACAAAGGAGTAAGATTCTGTCTCACCAAAAAACAAACAAACAAACAAAAAAAGCCATGCAACTAACAAAACCCCCCACAAAATTAAAAACTCAGTAGGATAGAAGATTTGAGCCACATTATCAACCATCTTGATTTGATTCTATTTACAGAACAAAACACCCAAATTAAGAAGAGAGATTCTTTTCAAGTCCGCATTTACTCACTAGGATAAGGCATGTGTATAAGGCCACAAGTTTCAATAAATTTCAAATGGATTTTAAAGAACTACAAAGAAGAGTAAGAGTCATAACGTGAAGTGGCAGAGTGCTAATACCAAGAACGAAACGTCCAAATTTACTAAAGTTCTGCCTTGCACGTAGCTTGAGCTATTTTAGAGGCAGCCTAATTTAGCAGGCATCTGCGTTGATAAAGCTATGTTAATTTTATGGCGAGGTCAAAGCATTTTTAAAAATGAAAAGTCTAAATAAAAAGCCCTCAGCTGCAGTAAGCTATGATGACACCACAGCATTCTAGTCTGGGCAATAAATAAAAAAGCTTCCAGAAAACCCCATGTTCTCCATAAACTTTCCTGTATTCCCAGAAACATTTCTGAGAGGAAGTTCCCTGGGCTTCTTCACATTATGAATATAAGGAAATATTATTCTGATATAATGGAGTAAGATTCTATAGTAAAAAGACTGAACAAATGAAACGTTCAACATTATACTGCACAAAAGAAACCACACACAAAGGTCTATGTACTGTATGATTCCTTTTATATGTATGAAATTCAAGAGTAAGCCATCTGTGATAGAAATCAGAACAATAATTACTTATAGAAAACGGTGAGTGGGTGAAGGAGACACCTTCTGTTCAATACATTGATTGGGTTATGGGTTATACAAGTTTATACATTTGTACAATTTCATCAAACTAAGCAATGCTCTTTAAAATGTGTCAGGCATTAAGAACAACAATGCCAATCCCATCTATTATAAATTCTTCATTTTAACTATGAAAGAATCATTAGCGGCTGGCTAAATATAGAAAGCATAAAATTCATTCAAAGCTGTTCAATCAGGAATTCTGTTTCTGTGGCAGATGCTCTCAGTGTCCTGTGCATTCCCCCCTACCCCCCCGCCCCAGTTTCTGGCCAGGGTTGGGTTTGAACCCACCACCTCCGGCATATGGGGCCGGCTCCGTACTCCTTTGAGCCACAGGCACTGCTGCCCTGTGCATATTTTCATATACACCAGGCCAACTTCTAACTGTCCAAGTTATCAGGGAGCCCTCTGCCCCTGCACATAGTGGTCTGGAAATGCCAGGAAATTAACATCCGCCCCCGCCCCGGGAGCAGTCA